AAAATAATTAATTTTACCATAACTTTTAGCTCAATTGGCAAAATGATTTACTTTTGTAGTTGAAACCTATCATATCAAACTTAATTCGACAATAAATACTTAGAAAACATTAAAAATGAATAATTTTAATTGTCTATATGGAGAACATAGGATAACTAACTGTTTAATTAGAATTTTTTTTCAATTTTTGAGGGTAATATCTTCAACTAAATACGAATTGTAGTCATTTGAGGTATCGTTGAAAAAAGTAGGTCAAGTTAGAGCAGAGAAAATAAATGATAGTCACAAAAAAATATTTTCTCAGCTTTGCATCGAAGCTAAAACTTAAAATATAATAAAATAATTTTGTATAATTAATTATAATTTAAAATATGAATAAGAAATTTCTTCTCGCGAGTGACGACTACAGTGATGGGATCCTTGATCTTTATTAAAGTTATTGAATCTAAATGAGATATAAATCAAAGGAGTTGAAAATTTATTCTAACTTAAAAAAAATTAAGAAAAAAAAGCACAAAATTCCTTATTATATGCTGGTTGGGTTGTGGTAGCTACCGACGACTGAAAAAATTAGCTATTTTAAATTAGAATTTTAACACAAAAATAGCATATTTTTGAATATGGTAGTCGTTTTCACCATGAAGACAAATCCAGAGGTTAAATTTTCTTTTTCAAATTAAAGTATATTACATTAGCTTTAATTTAAGATATATATAAAAGTGTCAGTCTTTCCGAAACATTTTCAAAATTTAAGTTGAAAAAGTTAATTTTTTGTAAATTAGTTATCTTTTTTGAAACCCTTCCTGTGAGCTGGTAAGGGATCAAATGTTCACAAAAATATATCAAAAGATAGATAAATACCTAAGATATCTACAAAAAAAAATATTATATTGATTCGGTCATTTTTAAAAAAGTTATGGTAATTTTAAGTAAAAAAAATTGAAAAAATATCGAAAATTAGCGATTTTTAAATTTATAATTTTTGGGGGGATTTCCCCCGTTTACGGGGAACGAGGGATTTTTTTTTCAAATTTTTAGGGTAATGTTTTCGATTAGATACGATTTGTGATCTTTTGACATATTTTTCATCAAAATCGGTTCAACAAGAGCTGAGATTGAGCGTATACAAACACAAAAAAAAAAATAAAATAAAAAATAAAAAAAAACACATCATAGTAAAATTAATACCTTCTCAGCTGCGCATCGAAGCTAAAACACATCATGGTAAAATTAATATCTTCGCATCAAAGCTAAAATTTGGAAAGGTTAATTTTATTTTTCTTATTATTATCCTAATCCGACTGGTAGACTATGTTCTTCTAATTTCATTAGATAACGCCAAAAAATAAGTCACTGAAAATTCTGTGTTAAAAGTGTGATACTTTTAATGATAATGTAATATTAATTATTTTAGGTTCAGGAAATTATCATAGTTCAATTTATGATAACCTATATCAAAAGTCCAAGGTCGAATAAAAACTCTAATTCCCAAATTAATAGAATTTTGTTTTAAGATTATTTGAAAAGTTTACGTTATTCATAAATATACGTCTTCAAAAAATGTAAATTAACTAACTAGTTTAAAATTTATTATTTTTGATATCTCAAAATATTTTTTTAAACGTATACTTTGTTTTTACAAATTTCGCGTTAAAATTTAATGTTTTTTGGAAAAAAATGTTGAGTTGGTTTTATTTTTCATTTCTTATATTATTTTTTACGAGATATCACCTTTTAAATCAATAATAAATATTGACTTTGTATTATTTTATTCTTACCTAATCAATTGGCTTAAAGCGACTTAAAGCGTGATAAAGAAAAATTATTATTCTTCGTCATACATAAAGTAGCAACCAAAACATTTTGTATAATAAATATCATAAACTTTGTAATTAAAACACTACCAGTTGAATTTATCAGTTTTTTTTAGAAAAAAAATTGACATAAAAGATAATAACAAGTAAATGTTCCGTAATTTCTGTAACCAAACCGTTTCGGCATCAATTTTCATACACCCTCAAAACATGTTACACTATTTCTACAATTTTCTCATCAAAAATAGTAACAGTAATAAAAAATAATTCTTGAAATATAATAATACTATGTGTTAAAGCTATAAAAAAAAAAAGTGTTAAAAATTAAAACCGAGTAAAAATTTTTAGTCGGAATATTTGAAAATTAATCGAAAGCAATAATATTAAGATTATATGGAGCGTAATGTGTCACAGTGGATCATTCATTCAGTCGCCGCTTTAACGCTGATGTTCACTGTGCTGTTTGCTGCTAGTTCCCTCAACCATAATTAAGTTGATCAGGTTGACAGCCAGTTTAAAAATTCTGTCAAATGACTCATTGTAAGATAGAGATGTGTCTAAATAGTTGGGATAGAGGCTAAGGAGATCATTATCAAGATTTAGGCTATATAATTAAATGTTATTAAATAAATTATTTAATTAAGTATAAAATTTAACATTATTTTAAAACATTAATTGATATTTTGCAAGATTTAGTATAAATAATGCCGATACAGAGAAATATACAAGAAAGATCTTATCTAAAAATTATATAGTAAGATTTTTATATAACTATGAACAAAGTACAAAGCCATTTTAACGAAAAAAATTTAATTTTTTTTATATGGCGTCATATTTTAGACAATTATAACAGTGATTACTCTAGAAAATGTGAGACAAGTTGATGCTAAAGACAAATAGAACAACTTGAATTAAAAATAATAATGATTTTCTACCAACTATTTTTGGATATGTTTTAAAATTTAAGTTCCTTTGGGCTGTCCTTACGACTAGAACATAGATTCCGGTAGTAGTACTCGGCTACGCCGACACAATGAGTATTTTACACAAAGTTATTACTTCAGAATCAGTATAACAAATATATAGTAAACATTTAATCAGTGGCGGCCCGTGGCTTGGACGACGGGACGATCGCATCCCCTCCTAAAATTAATTAAAAGAAGATTAGTAATTGTATGTTCTTAATTTTACATTTTTATAAAAAATGCACATTTTTAAATAGTAAAATAGTTATAATACATTTGTCGTGTGCGAACATTAGAGTTGTTTGCCTGAGTATATGCGGGTACGCGAGCACACACAAGCAGTGTTTGGACAACCTACAGCGTCGTCCGAATATTATGAAACGTATACTATTAACGAGAGGCAACAATCGTGTGCGTGCGGATACGGTTCAACTCACACTGAAGTAATACCTCACGGTAGTTCCAGGGCGGCCAACATCATGTCGACCGTGTGAAAAAAAAAAAAGGGTACGGTTCAGCTGCGATCTTATGTACGGGTTTTGGACGACCGGTAGCGTCGTCCATACAGTAAAATAGTATATTACTATATGGGGTAATTTATTTTTAGAATTAACTACGTGTACGATCGTCGTTATTCGTTTGCTATAATAGTNTTAACTACGTGTACGATCGTCGTTATTCGTTTGCTATAATAGTATAATTGCTATTATTATTATTATTTTCATTTCTATTTTCTACTGCGACCTTTAAAATAATAATATGTGTATTGTGTTTTATTTTATTATAAATAATTTGACAATATTTATACCTATAACTAGCGGTATTATATTTAAAGTCGCACCACCACAACCAGCACCTACGAGCCGCCACTGCATTTAATTATTAAAATAAGTAAAATTTAAAAAGGGTTAACAGTAAAATGTAATAAATATACGGTTGACATTTGGTGTAATCATTGGTATCAACAATATTAATAAAACTGTGTTATGAAGTTAGGAGCTATAATGTGTTACTATATATATAGTTTTAAATAAAAGAAAGTAAATTTAAATTTTGTTGATGTATTAGAATATAATAGCAATAATTATCATTACAATAACTGATGTTAGATCCAGAATTTCAGTATGTCGAACTTCAATTAACTAATTATACTATATTAATGAACTAAAATTTAAAAAATCTGAAATTCTTAACTAATTTTTCCAGCATTGGCAATTTTTTATTATATAATAAGATATACAGAAGGGTGATTAATTTATAATTTACCACTAAAGGGTACCAACTTATATTTTTTAATGATAACATACATATTTAACTATCTCATATAATAAAAAGTTATAAAACTAAGAAAGTGATTAGTCGATAACAGATTTCGAACAATATTATGGAAGTTATCATTACTTTGTAATAGGGTAAGGTGGGGTAGGATAGTGAGGATAAGCTTCTACAATTTTTCTGACTTTTGTAAATCTGAAATTTGCTTGAAAACTATTTGAATATCTAGCCTAACACTACAAATGTTTTCAATCATCTCTTTCAGGGGAAAAATATGAGTTTTCCTGGAAATTTTTGTCATCTTTCTCCAGCTATTGAGTAAAATGACAAAATCGGCTGTAAAACTTTGTAACCAACACTATTGCAATGAATTCATATGAATTAATAGGTATTAACTTATACTTTTAGAATATTTAAGAGAGAAATTTGAAAAATTTTTCATATCATACTAATACTTAAAGTTTTGTTGTTCGAAAATTAAATAATAACACACTAAATATTAAAATTTAAAATTTCCTAATAAAATTCTATGTTAGTAACCAAATGATAAATCTTAAATTTAGAAAATGTGTAATGTGTAAGATATATTAGAAATAACTAAAATACCTAGAAAAAATCATGAAGTATGCTAATAATTTACTACTTTTAAGTACCGTTACTTTAAATATTAAACAAGTTCAAAATAAAAAATGCATTTAAACTTTTAAAACTATGCGTTATACAAATTTCAAGCTGTATAGTATATCTAAATTATTTCTAAAACTATATAAATATTTCCTAACAATAACAATTATAAAACCAAATTAATTAGTTTCACTTCAACGACAAGATTATTAGCAAAAACCATAATTAACACAAATAGTTTTACTTCAATTGTAAAAATAATACTACCAAAAATAAAATAAAATACGTAATTAATACTTCAATTAAATTTTACACCAAAATTTAATTAAATAATCATTTATGTTGACCTATAATTTATTATTCGTATAAAAGGACACTTACAGCAGAGTATTCCATATTCCATAACGATTCATTAGTATTAGTACATAAGTATTCGAAGACATCTTTAACACCCATTTTCATTATGAACAGACGTTATTTGGTATGTAATAATTTTTTTGCTAATGTATAAGATAACCTAACTATAAGACATTTTACATTACCTTTAAATAAAATGATTACATTTTACTAAAAAAATGTATACTTATAACTATACAATTTTTAATATATGTATTTTAATACATACAAATATTTTTAATGAATACAATAATCGAAGTAATAGTTTTAAAACACCTAAGATATTTTATTAACTTTTTTTTAAGAAATTAATTTGAAAATATAACTATTAATTTAAACATGCTTGTTTATTTCATTTATTATTATTTCCAATTATAGACCGTTGTTTTACTTATTGCATTATCTTTAACCATGCAACAAATGTCAACATGTACAGGCGCTCCTCAAAATGTTCAAGTTAATCAACCCACACCAATTCCATTTGGTCAATTGCAAACTGGATTCGGGCAACTACCTATTGGCCAAATACCTTTTGGACAACCTATATTAAATGGACGTTAACCAATAGATATTTCAAAATCCTAACAGGAACATTTTTATTTGTTTATCTACATTGTAAAAAACTAACTATTTTTATTATTTTACATACTATTCAAAATTTAAGTAACATAAAATTATTAAATTAAAATGTTCATAGTAATGGTTGATTAAAACGCAATAAATATAATAAAATTAAATAAATCTACTATAAATTTATTAATGGTGATACTCAATTAGTAGTAAAAAAGTAGGATATTCTTATGAAAAAAAAATTAAGAACATTGAATCTTAGTGAGCACATACCTAGGAGCAGCGTGAAATAAAGTAGCGACCGTTATGTGATCACTTTTTTAAAACAAACTAAAGTATTTGTTTTACCCTCCCACCGATCCTGAGTATATTTGAATATAAACTTGAAAGATAATTAATTAATTAAGTTAAACACATTTTATTTTTAAATTGAAATTCTAATATTAATTAATTACCAACACAATTTATGAAGGATGTGGTGTGGCGCAATAGATTGCTGCCTTAAGGCTGATGTTCTGCTGCGCTATTTGCTGTTAGTTCCCAGATGGGGGTGGCCGTACAAAAAATTTAACAGTGACACACTTTTTGCCCCTTTACTGGCTCCCCAGTCATANATGACACACTTTTTGCCCCTTTATTGGCTCCCCAGTCATAAAGAAGTTGCGACAATCAGTGTAAAATCTCGTCAAATCGTAAGGTAAAGCTGATTCCCAAATACTTGGGTAGAGTAGTTTTATTATGAACGAAATATATCAAAAAATGATNTGGGTAGAGTAGTTTTATTATGAACGAAATATATCAAAAAATGATGTAGAAAATATTTTGAATGTATCCTTTATATAGATTCATTATTTTTAAATATTTTTCTAAATTTCCAAAATTAAGGAGAATTCTAAAGCCAATAGGTTCAACTAGACTAAATTTAGATTTTTATGACGCATAGATAATTAAAATATGTATAGTGAGAGAAAAGTATTTTTATGAATAGTTACCAAAAATTAACACATTATGGTAAAATCAATACCTTCTCAGCTTATCTTTTAATTATACTTGGTATGACCTCTTAACTTTACATATGTTGTCAGTGCCGTCGATATGATTTGTGGGATTCTAGGCAAATTATAATCGCAGGGCCCCAAACTTAACCTACAACCAAATAACATTTATTTACTCACATTTTTTTTTTGTGGTGCCCCAAAATCACTAAAAAAAGCGAGGGCATACGACCTACTTACCCAACCAAACCAAACACCCCTTGAAAAAATCCTGCGTCACAACTAGAATAGACATCCAGAATAATTTAGCCTACAGAGCCAAAAACCTAACAATTTCATTGCATTAACACTTTTTTTCGTAATCCTAATATTACATTAGTTTATTTAGATTACATTAATTTTGTTGTACGATAGTATTGACAATTTGAATAAATTAAAACCGACTGAAATATCTCGTTAAAGATGTTTTCTCAACAAAATTTTATTTTAAATCGTTCAATCCGTCCCGTTAATAAAATTATTACAAGAATAACTTTTTTTAACTGGATATACTATATAATCTACACGCAACAGCCAATCCAAATGCTAACAGTATCGACGTTCTAGACTTCGGGTAGACAGTAACATGTTTGAACACTCGTTTTAGTGGAGGGGTTTTTACCCACGGGGTCTTGCAGAGACCTGCTACCTGTTGGTAGGTATGCGCAACGCGTGAGGAATGTACGCACCGCAGAATCTTTTAACGCAAGACGAAGAAAGATAATAACAATAACAGTTCAATTACAAGTTTTAACAAAAGTAAAATTTGTGATATTTTAATTTCAAAATAGTGTAGTTTTAATACGAATTATATTATATACAATCTTGTATTTATAAAGTTGATATTTATTAAAAAATGACTTGAACACCATCGCATTGAAGTCTCCAAGGCGGTCCGTCTCAAACAATCAGTGCACCAAATCATGATCAATCAATCGCTCCATGGCCCAATATGAATTCCTACCGTTGTGCGATGTCTTGTTCAATGTTATCTCGTTGGCTGCATACTTTTGTAACATTGTATTTGATGTTGTCATGGGATATGCCTTGTACTCTCATGGACAGTATCTACCCTTCTGTATCACAATGTTGTTCGTAGGAATATCTGCCACTGTTGAACAAACAATGTCACTACGTTGGTACTTAGTTGCACAGACTGTTAGTGACAAGTCATCCCTAACTGATAGGCTGAAGCGTTATGCTGTCCAAGGATTGCATTTTATTCAGCTGGGTATTCTATGGAGGTATGACAATATTTAATGACAGTTAAAATTGAACAGATATTCTAATAAATTATTTTACTTAGGTACTTTAAATTGTTTCTTCCGGTTGACTTAAGGTATGTAAAATTTGAAGTACGTGATCTGTGTATGCTTCGACTTTTACATGCATTCTGTGAATCAATGCCTCTTTTATTACTTCAGTCTTATCTTTTATGGACAGATGAAGGTATTTTAAAACAACTACATGATTTAAATAAAGTAACAATAACACTATCAACTGTCAGTGTTTGTTGGGCATTAGCTTCTTTTGGAAAAAATGTTCGTTTACAAAATGTGCATAGACTAGTTCTTACTTGGCTAGGTGTAATATTTCAGGTAAAATAGGTGACAATTTTTTTTTTTAACTCAATCTATTTTATGAAGTTCAGAGTAATTTATGATAATTTTAAATAAATTTTCTAGTTCCTATGGCGAATTGGCACAGTTGGAGCTAGAGTTATATCATTAACTGCTTATGCAGCGGTATATAAATACTGGATTCTACTAGTACTCTTTCTACATTGGTTATCTATGCTTTTATGGTTACATTCACCTAAAACTGTTTTTCATGGAGAACGCATGTCTTCAACTCGCAAGGCATTTTTATATTCATTACTTGCCTTTGTTTACACTTTTGCTTACATTAATTTAATTGAGGATAACCATAGAGAAAAAATGGTAAGCTAATTTTAAAATTATCTGTTAATAATTTATATTTTAAATAATAATTTTCAATTATTAAAGTTAATAGGATAACTCATCTAGTTATTAAACAAATAGGATTTATTATACTTTAAAATTTTTTAATAAATTTATTATCATCAATTTATTTCTATTATCTAGATATAAAGTTGATAATATCATCTACTCTTGAATTTTAAACTTTTAGTGATATGAATTAAAAAACAAATTTGCTATATTAAATTTATATTGAAATAACTGAGAAGAGCCTGTAATTTTATGGTATTTTGATAGCTCAGTATATTTAAATTTCAACATAAAAATTATAAATTTGTCCATTTAAGTCTGCATCTTAAATTAAGAAAAATACTCAACTTGGATGCTAAAGAGTTAAAATTTTAAGTAACAATGATATTTATTGAGGTAACTAGACCAGTTACCCTAGTCATATAGTACATAATTAAAAAGTCTTAGTGCCATAATTTAATTTTATTGACCTTGTTTTAATTAAATTAAACTTTATTAATAAAATTTCCTTTTTTTTTTTTTTGCAGCTTATGTTTTATGTAGTAATGGCTTTAGAAAATGCTCTTCTTATGTTTGTATGGACTATAGGAAGTGGCAATATTGTTATGCCTTTTGTGGTTCTTGGATTATTCAGTGGTGGTTTAGTATTTATGGCATTGTATTATCAATTTTTTCATGTAAGGAGGCTTAAATATGAATCTGGAGGTCGCCCTAGTAATGCTTCAAATAGTAATAATTCAACTGTCAAATTGGCCTTAGAAGCAAAATATAAAAGTCAGAATACTGCCCCTAATGGAAAAGTATGAAATTTACTGCTTTGTGTGATAATTTTTTATTTATCAAATATTTTAATATTAGGTAGACCTCATAAGAAGACATAGTTTTAGTAGTGTATATGAAAACATTCCTCTTGGTGGTTATCACAATCAAGGTATTTTGAATGAACAACCTCCATTAATACAAAGAAACCAAAGATATTACAGTGCACTACCAGCTAGAGTGCATAATGGTATACCCGGTGTTTTTAACTGCCGTTTTACAAACCCATATGTAGCAGCTATGCAAAAAAGGAAAAAAAAAAAACCTACCACATTTGTTCCACCACCATCTGGAACTAGTGGTCGAGATAGTGTTGCTTTTTGGTGTAAACCGCTACCTTCAAATCATAATCAACTTATTTCTTCTGAAAACAGTAGTGTTAGTTCACTTGTTATTCATAAAAAACTGCAAGAAAATCATTGCAATCAGTTAGCTGAGCTAAATGCTATTGAGAAAGAAACAGAACAAAATAAATTAAAGCACTCTACTGAAAATGGAGAAGTTCTGTTGTCCCCTCAAGGATACCTTCATAAACAAAATTGGATTGTACCACTATTCATGTAAGTGTTACTTCAATGAATTATTATTATTACTCAATATATATTTAACTGTGATATCTTATTATTTCAGTAACCAAGAAAATAATTCTGAAGCAAGAGATAAAGTACTTACACTTATGAGTAAATTACACAAGTCTCCATCTGATTTAGACTCGCAAATATCACTACCTCGATCGTATACTCTTCCTAGAGAATTCAAATTTTATAGAAAAGTTAGACCAAGAAAAACAGTAAAACCTGATATTTTCATTACATCTACTAATTCTAGTGATGGTGATGTAGATTCTGAAGATTCAGATTCATCAGAACCTCAATTATCTCCACACCCATTAAGACTTCCTGAGCGTAATGCTATAGGTATTCGACATGAGACCAAACTTTAATTAATTTTGTTAATTATAATTAGAAAAATTTTGTATAATAATTCTTCTTCATTCAGTATAAAGTGTTAAATTATTTTATATTATGTATATATTGTTTTCACAAATATTTTATGTATAAATAAGATATAAATTACTTTTATTGAATTTCTGATTTAATTCAATTACAATACTCATATTATATGTTGAACTTTTTAATTAGTCTAGCCATTTTTCCTGATAAAAATTGAACATTGTGTATAAATCAAAAGAAAACAGGATTCTACTTAAAGCCCCAACAACTTTAATTCTAGATTTTATATTTTTCTAAAAAGAATTGTCAGTTTTATAATTTTTTTTCACATTATAAAATATAACTTCTTATTATTTATTTAGTTATCAAGATAATTTTATTTAATAGGAAATTAAAAATTGGTATTAAATTAAAATTTACTAGAAAATATCAAATGTAATAATTAAATGTTGTANATTTACTAGAAAATATCAAATGTAATAATTAAATGTTGTATTCCTAAAGTAGTCATTTTTTTTTAGTCAATACTAAAAACATTAAAATATAAAAAATAATTTAATGTTTAAAAAAATATCTATAAATCCCTTCATGTTTTTTTATTCAAAAACACCAATAAAAATTATAATAAAATTAAATAATTTAAAAAGTAATTAAACTAAAATATGACTATAAAATAGTTATTTTCACTGAACTTATAAACATTATATCATCAAAAATAAATAAATAAATACATATTGGAGATATTTTTAAAAATATAAAAATAATAGAAAATTGACTCAATATTTTAGTGAATAATTTTTCCAAAAAACTTAATATTATGTTTTATTTAGATATTTGTGTATATTTTAAATGAAATATAAAATTGTTTGAACAGCCATATAAATAGTTACTCCAAATCCCATAGAAAATGCAATAGCTCTAGAAGGTTGAGGTAAAACGATTACTGCATAACAAATTGTATGAAAAATTCGACTAGCCACAAAGAGACGAATCAAATTTGTAGCCAGGAATATGCTAGGATTTGTCAGTAAATATCCAAAACAAGCTATAACAAAAAATGGAATATTCTCCAAGTCATTTAAATGTGCCCTAAAAATAAAAATAAGAATCAGTCATATATAAGGTAAAATAAAAATTAGATATGATGGTATGAATATTAATAATCATAACACAATACTATTTGTCTATAGTTCTATATTTGTCACTTTCCACTTTCAACACTTTATACTTAAAGTGAATTTGTAATTACTGCAATGTACTTAATTCTCACTCGCCTTCTTTTTAAATAGAAGGATAACATTTTCAAAAAATTTATCGAAATCAATAAATAAAAAAATAAAAAACTTCCAATACCCAATACTGAAAAATAATTCAAAATAGATGTTTTCTTTTTCTTTTTTTTTTTTAATTATTTAACGGCAATTTACAGGAATAATATTATGGTAACCTAAATATATAACATAATATAACAAAAAAAAGAGAAAAAAAAAATGTACATGCATATATGTAAAACATAGAGTAAGAAACTATGACAACAAAATAATGATGACAATAAATTAAGATTTATAAGATAAATATAATATATAATTATTATAAGACAGTTAAATTTTTATAAAAGTAAATGTGACCAAAAAACTAAGTATTATTGAGAGAGCGTAGCATTCTGTGTATTGGATTATTATTATTATAGGAGGTATGATGAGAAGGAACATGAAAGGGAAAGTGATTTCTAGTGGGATAGGATGGAACACGAAAGGATATAGAAGACAAAAGGTCTGGTGCATCAATTAGACCATTAAGGAGAGCATCGATAAATGAACGGTCTGCATCAAATTGTCTGGAACTAAGAGTAGGGATATTAAGTGCCGAACGAATAATGGAGTAATCATGAGGGGGGTAATTTTGAGTAAATAAGCGGTGTAAGATAAAAAGCGATTTTGTACTCTTTCAACACGGAGTTGATCTTTAGCTAAATAAGGATGCCACACAACCACTCCGTATTCTAAAATAGAGCGAACAAGTGAAAAAAAGAGGGAACGTAAACAATGTGGAGAAGTAAAGAGGTCAGTATGTCGTTTTAAAAATCCTAAAACTTTTAAGGCTTTGCCTACTATAAAGTTAATATGAACGTCAAAAGATAGCGAAGGAGTCAGGTGGAATCCCAGGTCAGTTACTTGAAATATACGTTCTAGATGTTAGTTAGAGCATAAAAGTTTAGCTAAACTAGAGAGTTCTAGTTTCCTATTTTGGAAATTTGTAATGAATGAGAAGTAAAGAGAAGATAATCAAAATTTTTACCCACTTTCCTTTGATATTTGACATATAATCAATTTTTTTTTTATTAAGTGAAGAAAACCAGAAAAAACTCACAAGATGTTTTTTGAGTTGAGTTTTTCTTAATAACCATAGTTATAGTTAATGCCATGTCAAAATACTTTCCCAAATTACCCAACTATTTCACAATTTCAAAGGAATTTTCATATTAATAGACTCTTACAAAGTTTATAATATAATATTATAATCAAAACATTTATTTACCTTCTTACTCTTTCTATATCAACATCATCATACTTAACTTTTGAATTCTTTAACGTATTTATATCTTCAGGATTTGAAAAAATCTAAAATATGATAATAAATAAAAAATAATATACATATATTAGTTAAAAAAATTTCTGTAGTATTACATTTTATTGTTGAACTGAAAAATAAAAATAATAATGATCAGTAATACATACAATACAATAATATCAAATAATAATAATGATCAGTTTTACAGCTTTCTATTTCCCAAACTTAACATACTACAGAGGGTGGTGGCCTTCTGTAGCGTGTTAATGAGTCAAAGATGGTTCTTAGCTAGGCCAATGATGGACAGGACAAGTATTATGACCAGCTTTCATCAGAGACCAGACACTACCAATAAATAAATCTTGTTGGAACCCTGAGGATTGTACCTGGGTCTACATGCACCAAAACATACTTTTTACCTACTAAGTCAGGCTGACTAATATATCAAATATAACATAAAATCTATAGTCAAATATGTAAATATGTATTGATACATTAATACTATTAATCAATGAATAATATCTTAAAATAAGGATTAACAAAAATATTCTAATTACCCTCAACACTCATGTAATTGATTATTTTTGTATACCCAAACGTTTGAAATTAATTGTATGATATTTAAAGCAATATAATTAAATTTTCACCTTTTTTATCATCCTTTGTCTAGCAGTAAGTAAAGCCATAAATAAAACTTTTAACACCAAAAGAGCAGAGTAGAAAATGTAAGTTTTAAACAATTGTTCATCAACTTGAATGCTGACTAACATGTTTGAATTTTTCTTGATAATGTCTAAATATTAATACAATTTGGATAAATGGAGCTATTTATGCCAAATAAATATATAAATCTTTAATAAACATAAACATAAAAAATAAACCAAAGAAAATAAATCAACTTTTCTGAAAATGAAGAAGTTTAAAAAATACTATGTCTTAATATGTAGTAATTAATTTTGGAAGTGAACTCTATCCATATTATATTTTAAGTACAACTGAATACATTCACCTAAATGAATATTCAATCAATGACATAATAGTTCTGTAAGAGAATATTTTGATTTTTAATTTTTATGTATTTTATAATTAAAGAGTTTACTATTTTAAACTTGAAATAATGCATTATTATAATATAATTATGCATTATTTTTGTATTTTTTATATATTATATAAAAAATAATAATTATTACATATGATATAATAATATAATTTAAAACACTCACATATATAAATATTCACTTATTGACAAAAAATTTAACTAAACAGTTCGTACGATGATGTATCATTGATATTTTATTAACAAAATCGACATTAATTGACGCTTGCAATGTTTTTTCGAGGTTGTATGTAAATATTGTTTACATAAACAATTCAAGGTTAATAGATAATTACTCATAAATCTTGTAAACAATTATTTTGAATATATATATTACGTTTTTTCAATGGTTCAAAAAGTTGTTTCGATGATAAGACATAACGTGGTAAATTCAAAAAGGATGATTGTATTTTTGAGTTGGTAGATTTTGTAATTTTTAATAATTATTACTTAAAAAACTACCTAAATTATATTATTAATTATAAATAATACAATTTACACACTTAGAGTGGTGAATTAAAATTTATAATTCCAACAATTTTGACCGTGACTTTTTTTTTATTATTCAATTTAAGATATTGATAATAAAATTATTATCCGCAACCCAATAATATAATTATTAGTTTTGTGAATTTTGTTTAGTGTTACAGAAGTTACCTTGAAGTAGCTATTACTCCGATAATAGTAACCAATTCTAATAGTCAAAGTAATTTTAAAGTATCAAATATTTTGATTTACAATAAAGAAAAATATAATAAAAACAAGTTAAAAAGAATATTCTCATTTTTTAGCTTCGATGCGAAACTGAGAGGGTATTAATTTTACTATGATGTGTTTATTTATTTATTTATTTTTTTGTGTCTGTTACCACTTTTTCTCAGCTCTCACCGATCGATTTTTTTCAACAACACGTCAAAAGATCACAAATCGCATCTAGTCGAAGAATTTAGCCCCAAAAATTGAAAAAAATTCCCTTGTTCCTCGTAAATGGGGAACATTTCCAAAAAAATTACAAATTTAAAAATCGCTAATATAATTTTTTTTTACACGAGGTATTTACCTATCATTTGATATATTTTTTTTTATAAATCTGACCCTTTACCAACCCACAGGGGGGATTCAAAATGACAACTTTTTCAACTTAACTTTTGAAAGTGTTCCGGAAAGTCTGACACTTTTATATAATATAAATATATATTATATCTTAAATTAAAGCTAATGTAATATACTTTATCATAGGAAAAAATTAATTTCGGACTTTATTTTGTCTTCACAGTGAAAATGGCTACCGAATGCAATTTTTGTGTGAAAATTATGGATTTTATATTTTACATTTTTAACTTTATAATGCTATAACTTATTGAAAAGTGTATGGATCAACACAATTTTTTTATGAGAAATAATATTTTTTAATAATCCCTTTTTCATTCGATATACTTTATCTTAATCAGGATATTAGTAAGGAAATAGCAGATTATGTAGCTTTTAGAATAATCCACCAATTTTTGAAAATTTAACACTACCTAAAGATTTGCATCGAAGCGCATTTTTTTATAGTGATTTTAATCACTGTCATATATTATTATACTTGATCCAACTGTGCCACGTCACCACTATGCCGCGACTATACTGTGCTTATTACTATCTTAAAATAAAGATAGTAATTAAAATATATATTTTATAATAAAATTGTGGCAGTATTTTACCCCTCCAACCTCCCCCTGAAGACAAATTTGAATATACGCCACTGATTATGATTATTTAAATCAATATTTAATTAATTACGTTGCATGTCAGATAAAACCACCAGAACTTCATTATTTTCAATAAAATTTAAGCTATGTATGAAAAATCCTTTAATATTTTACCTAATTAATATTTCATATAATTAAATACATTATATTAACATATTTTTGTACACAAATTCGTTCTTTAATATAGTTATTGCAATTGAAAATTTGCACCACTATAAAATTTAAACATAACATTTATAACGTACATTTCTAAAAGGTTCTAGAAATGGTTCTATTCTCGAAAAAGATTATTACGATATTTTTACAACACTAATTATGACTACTTTTTGTATTAATTATTAAATTAAATTTTATTATTTTCATATTTAATAACAAGTATCTGTTAATTATTAATCGTAAAACTTTGCATTTTTTACTTAATTTAATAACATTTAAAAATACAATTCTAGAATGTTCTAGATTTGGACATTTTAAGAATCACTGGATTCTCGAATTTTCGTTGATAAATAAAAGCGCGGCAATTCAATTCGGCCGTAGCTTATTCTCTTGTCTTACAAATACAGAATACCTAAGTTAATTGTGCTTTTTAGCTTTCATTAAATTTTCACAGTAAGAAATATTTTGTATTAGTGAAATAAATATTTGAGTTACTTGCATTTTTCGTTATTCAATCAAAAAACGTAACGTTTTTGTTTGTCAGTTGTACTAAAGAAATATAAGGTATGTACCAATATTTTAATTTCCATTATGTTAATATTTATACTAAGAACAAATATTAGTTTTAAAATTTACAATTATTTTATATTATCCTAAGAAATGTATTTTTTTACATTTTAAATAGGTTTTAGTTTTAATGTACTGATGAATTGTAATTAAATTTTTCACTTATTACTACAATAATTCCGGTCGAAAATAATTTGGTATTATAATTTATTTTGTTTAGATGTCTTTATTGCCATATTTATTGGAAGAATTTTCTCGTCCCACCTTATATGACCAGTACTTTGGCTTAGGACTTTTGGACGATGATATTGTTGTTCCACGGCATTCTCTTCAACATGCAGTCCCTTCCATGACCAGAAGATATCATTCCCCATGGCGTCTAGTGGCTGCACCCGACAGTGGTCTGTCACGTATTCAAAATGACAAAAATGGGTTCAAAGTGAATTTGGATGTTCAACAGTTCAAACCAGATGAAGTGAATGTCAAAGTGGTTGATGATTATGTGGTCATCGATGGCAAACACGAAGAACGAAGTGACGAACATGGTTTCATATCTCGTCAATTTACAAGGCGTTATAAAATTCCAGAATATGTCGACCCTAATGCTATAACTTCCACATTGTCTTCTGATGGTGTTCTCAGCATTGGTGCACCAAAAAAAGTGAGATATAAATTGAAATGAATTACTTTAATTAAATTAACTTTGTTATAAACGCTATTAATTAATTGTATATTTTATAGACAATTGAAAACAACAAGGAGGAAAGATCAATTCCAATAGTCCATACTAATCAACCAAGCATCAAAATTTCTGACAAAAATGAGAAAGATTGTTCTGAAAAAATGGAATCTTAAATTTTTATTCTGCTTAAATTTAATTGCTATGATTTTAGACTGATGTAATCCTATTTAGATTTTTATCAATATCTAAAATAACTAAATTTTATTATCATATTTTTTAAAAAAAATATAATAATTATGTAACTTCTAACATTAATCATAATAAACAATAATAAATTACAATTTATATTTTAATAAAATAAATGTATAATTAGGAGCAAAATATTTTTTATGTTTTTACTCTCTAATGACTATAAACATTCTCTTTTGATTATATAATATTGTTCTGTTGGTCCATTTTTAATGGTAATAAACAAATTTTATTTATGTAGAATAGTATTTTAGTTTGTATAATTAGTTAGGTATTGGTTTTATCATTTTTGTTAAACATCAAGAAGGAAAAATCAATTCCATTAGTCCATGCATATCATTCAAGCATCAAAGTGTCTGACAATAAATGGAACCATATTTTTAAATTTATGACATTTTTGAACTTCAAATGTTATCTATTAGACTGATATTTAGATTACCTCATTATTTATTTATTCATTTTTATTAGATTTTCTTTTATTTAAAGAAATATTGTAATTTTATAACATTAAAATAAACATACATTTTAAATATTATGTTCGTTTCTTTTTAATTAGTATAATTTTTTTTTATCATACATAAATTATATAGAGTGTTCACTAAGTAAGGAAACGATTGGGTTGGTAACCTGGGGATTTATTTTTGAATCGTCCATTCTCGAACATGTTCAGATTGTGTTTTATATAGGTTTATATGGCGAACGTTGTTCACGAACAGGTTTGGAACGTATGAAATATCGGACGAACGACTGTTTAGAACAATAGAAAGGTTTGACCCTCATACTTACCTTTTAGGTAAACATATTTACTTAAAATACATTTTTAAATTAACATCGTATTTAATTAATTAAATTTATTAAACAAATCAATTATTCGTAGAAGTAGCTATACTCGGAAATAGAGGAGCTAAGCCCCCCATTTTTAATTACATCACCTAATTGACTTAGGGACATTAAAAAAAAATATTTAATATATATTTTTATTTATAAAATATATTTATTATAATAAATATTATTTTAATTAATTCTGTTGTTATACAAAACATAAATTAGTTTAAAAAAATTATTTAAATTTACAAACAAAAATTTTTAGTTAAATAATAAAAATTATTTTAAATAGTATTATTATTTATATATAATATACAATTCTTAAACTATATCAACCACTAGTTGATCATTAAATTTTATTATACCAATATTTTAATTTCCATTATGTTAATATTTATACTAAGAACAAATATTAGTTTTAAAATTTACAATTATTTTATATTATCCTAAGAAATGTATTTTTTTACATTTTAAATAGGTTTTAGTTTTAATGTACTGATGAATTGTAATTAAATTTTTCACTTATTACTACAATAATTCCGGTCGAAAATAATTTGGTATTATAATTTATTTTGTTTAGATGTCTTTATTGCCATATTTATTGGAAGAATTTTCTCGTCCCACCTTATATGACCAGTACTTTGGCTTAGGACTTTTGGACGATGATATTGTTGTTCCACGGCATTCTCTTCAACATGCAGTCCCTTCCATGACCAGAAGATATCATTCCCCATGGCGTCTAGTGGCTGCACCCGACAGTGGTCTGTCACGTATTCAAAATGACAAAAATGGGTTCAAAGTGAATTTGGATGTTCAACAGTTCAAACCAGATGAAGTGAATGTCAAAGTGGTTGATGATTATGTGGTCATCGATGGCAAACACGAAGAACGAAGTGACGAACATGGTTTCATATCTCGTCAATTTACAAGGCGTTACAAAATTCCAGAAAATGTTGANACTTAATCTTCATTTAGTAGGTATAGTGAAAAGGTTGTTGTGCTGGTGGTTGACGAGGAGCCACCCTTCAATCAACTTCAGTTCAACTAGCAACTTCAGTGCTAGTTTTGAGCTAAACCATGCTGACGGGTCTAAACTCTACCTCTTTAGTAGTTCACTAATTTGAGGGATTGGGGCTGACCAGTGTATCCAACGGGAGGACTCGAGAAGAGCTAAAAACGACGAACTCGTCTTCAAAGAACATTTTTTTTTTAATTTGTGTACGACTTTTTGTGTCTACGTCGGGGCACTACCGACGTACGATATAACATAAGTATATATTTGAATTACTTAATAAAATATAAACTAAATTAATGAATGTAGAAGATCGTATAGTTGTTTAGCCTCTATTGAACCGCTTCCAGTAAGCCTTTGTGTCCCGGTTGATTGCTGTATGTTTTTTTTATATTGGTCTTTAGGTCCGACCAATCCTAACCAAATATAATATATTTTAAATGTTGTAAATATTTTGCAAACATTTTCTTCAAAATTTTGAAAAATACCTATAATTTAAAATGAATACTTTAAGCCTCGGGTTAGATTTTATGGAAAAAAGAAAGGAAACAGGGAATTGGAATTACTATGTGGTACATAGAACGTAAAAACCTTACGTACAAACCAGTAGCGACTTTTTATTTAGTAAGAGAAATAGAAAAATATAAGATGAAATGTGTGGCTTTACAAGAAATTAGGTGGGAAGATACTGGAACGACTAAAGTATCCCAAACAACCATATTTAATGGTAAATGTTCACATTCTCACAAATTAGGGACCGAATTTGCTAATTTTGACTGGGTTCTATTAGTTAGGTATGAATTTAACCAATTAAGGAAATTGCCGTGCAGACCAAATTTTTGAAGTTTGAATATAAGCAAGTTATGGTTTACTCTGTCGAAAGCTTTACTAAAATCAGTATAAAAGGTATCAATTTGACTTTCGTTTTCACTAGATGAGATTAAATCAGTGTGATAAATGAGTAAATTTGTGAAAACTGATTTATTAGGTCGATAACCATGTAGATTAGGACAGATATAATTGGACAATAATTTAGATAGTTTTTTAGTAATAATATATTCAAATAGTTTTGGAATAATTGACAATTTAGAAATTGGTCTATAATTATAATTAATAACATTACTTTTATCACCACTTTTAAAAATAGGGACAATATAAGATTTTTTCCAATATATTGGAAAGGTGCCCGTTGACAGAGACAAATTAAATAATGTATGAAGTGGTTTGGTAAAGATACTTTTACATTCCTTTAATATAATAGGAGGGACACCATCAGAACCCACACAACTATATGCGTTAAGCGAATGCAAAGCATCGAAGATTTCTTCTTCGCTCTTATATCATATAGATAAATTCAAATTATAATTAATATTTGTAGCGTCATAACTCATATTCATAGTATTATGTGAGTGAGGGAGCGAGTATATACTAGAAAAAAATTGAGCAAATAATTGAGCAGACTCATCGAAACTACTGGCAGACTGCCAGTGGCAGTAATATTATTATAAAACATATTTTCCGGAATAGGAGTCTTATTAGATTTAAGCCTATTAATGTGATTCTAAAATGGTTTAATATTAGACAAAATGTTACTTTCTAATCTAAAAATATAATTAGAGTTACAATGTAAAGTCAATATTTTACATTCTCTACAAAGGTTCGAAAACTCAATATAATCATATTGTGATGCACCAATTTTAAATTTTTTATGAGCTATTTTTTTTTAATTGACAAGTAGTCAATTTAAAACCCAACCCAACCAGTAAATATTAATAAATATAATTCTATCTCTTTTACCAAAAAAAAGATCCTTTAGTTTTCAATTATAAAATTAATAATATTATCCGAGTGGAGTCAATAAGAGATTTGAGTGTTCTTTTTTCATGCAATAAGTCGTTTTATTCTAACACTTATATAGTTATTAATAAAGCATTTAAAATGCTAGATTTTATATTAAGAAACACTAGAGAATTTAAAAATATTCAAGCTCTAAAAACACTTTATTGCTCCCTGGTTAGATCTAATTTAGAATTTGGATCATTAATATGGGGTCAGGATTCGACCGATCAACTTGTTGAAAATGTTCGATATAAATTTTTAAAATTAATTGCTTTCCGCTTAAATTTACCGATCTCTAGAAACTCAATGTCATTAGTAGCAGATTCTATTTATATTCAGCCATGTGAGGTTAAACGTAAAATGTCCGATATCTTATTTATTTATGATCTTCTAAATAACAATATTGACTGTCCCGAATTATTAAGTAAGATCGGTATTTTAACTCATAATTATTCAATTAGAAACTCATATTTATTTTTTGTGCCTTTTTTAAAAAAAAAAATTTGTACCGATTATATTTTTCCCAGAGCGCTTACGCTATGCAACCGTATTTGTAATGATGTTGATTTTTTTTTTATGACTCGTGATCTTATCAGAATAAAAGCTTTGTCTTTTTTCAATTTAAAGCTATTATTATATTATTATTGTTATTATTATTATTATTACCTATGACACGGCACCGCCTTTTGCTCTAGGCTGGCGCTCACCCGTGTCTCTCTCGATATCAGCCGTCCAGCTATTAATATGACAATCGGTTGTCATCGGTCGTCTCCCCGCCCTTGACACTGAGATAAGGCCGCCGCCGAATATGGATTACCGATATTGCTTTCTGTTTCGTTTTCGACGTACACCTAACTGGTTGCTCGACTCCGTTTTTGCGCCCTCTGTTTACCTTTCTGCCTTTTTGGTCTGTTTTATTGTACAACGTTTAGCGTCGGTTATACCGGGACCTTGACTTATCTTACACCATTAGGATACTACAGTGCGGTGTAACTAGTGTTGGCGTTATATCGGGACCGCCAGTGCGATCTATATCAATATATATAGATATTTATATATAATACTATTTACTCGTCAGTGCGGCTTTGCATTAGTTTACCTTCTGGTTTAATTTATTCACCAGTGCGACTTTACCGTAGTCTTATTTTGTGTTTTACTACGAATCGACTGTGCGGTCAACCTTTTCTTTTTGGATTACGTATTACCTATTTTCGTATGTTTAGATTATTATTATATCTCTTTTGTAAAAGGGCATGTCCCGTAAAATATATTAAATTTGTTTATAATTAACAACAAATTATTATATAAAAAGTTTTGTGTCAAGTCCTTCAATTTTTATACACGTTTGCCATACAATTAATATCTACTTTATAATTTTTTAGAGTTTCTCTGTAAAAATTACAATACAATTAAGTATTTAGTAATTTTTACATTAAATATCAATTCTATACTATATTTAATTCTCCGAAAAAAATTAAATACATGTTTGTCATAAATTATTAAATATCTATCTCATACTAATTTAATTGCTACAATTAATATTTATTCATATATCACTTATTATTACCAAGGCTTAAAACCGGTTATCAGTTATAACCGAAAACCGGTAAAAAACCTTTTTTTTTTTGAGAACCGGAACCTCTTGAGGGTTTTTTTTTTTNTTCTCTGTAAAAATTACAATACTAAATTATTAAAATTCAATTTCATACCATATTTAATTGATATAATAAATATTTATACATATATTACACTTATAAATCATAAAACTTGTAATCAGGATATATATAAGGAAATAGAAGATTTTGTAGCTTTTGCAATAATCCACCAATTTCTTATAATTAAACACTTTCTACAGTATT